GGGGTTTAGGGTTAAAGGGTTAGGGGTATGAACGCCCGCATATCAATAGAACTTTGCTTTGTTTGGCCGGATCACCAAGCGAGTGATGTTGTATCTGGGGGTACTCTGGTCGCCCATGTAAAGTAGGACTCCTTTGGGTATAGCATTTTTTACGAAGAGCATAATCTTACTTGTTTCAACCACCAAAGTAAACCCCATAGCTTATAGGACCCTAAGCCCTAAACCCTACCAAGTCAGCTCCCTGCCGCCGCCATTGTGGATCGAGCTGCTAGTTGATCGGCGCAGGAAGGGGGAATCAGACGGAACCACATCTCTCTTTGCTTTTGTACAGGCCAGCAGATCAAAGGCTTTCGTTACGATTTCTAAGGGTTCTGGATGTGGCTTCGGGGTGAAGGGTTCATGGCTTGGTTCCTTTCTTTACGGGCTTCACCAGGTTTTTTGGCCCTACCCTAAACCCCTAAAGAGGATTGAGGCGTCGGAGTTTTGTGGGTCATCTGATCTTTAACCTCTGGGGTTGGTCATCTGAGCTTGAACCTGTGGGGTGATGTGGGGAGTTCCCAAAATTAGGGTCCCATTTTGGTACCCCTAAATATTACAGTAATATGCTTACGACCTAAAGGGGCCATTTGTTTTGAGAATAACCCATGTATGACTCTAAACCCTAAGCCCTAAACACTATTCACAGGCGACGGACTCTGGGCTCAGCCACGTCCCCTTCTCGCGGTTGATCCTAGGGAGGTGGGGTTGGGGTAGCAGAAGAGTTCTTCTGGATTTTAGGGTTTAGGGATCTCAAGTAAGGATATATGTGTTTTGCTTGCGCCTTATTGTATATATAGGTGAAAATTAAGGGCCAGATTGAAACTTAAGGGGCCGCAGAATGAACGAAGACCCTTGCCTCCTCGGAGTTTGTTCAGGTGCTCTACAGCGATCGGTTGTATCTCTGTTGGATTTTGCAGCTTCCCGACCTCCACCGCTAAAACCTGCGCCTTTATCTCGAAGCCCAGACCTTGAAATCCAAGCCTGAACCCTGCACCTGAACCCGCGATTGTAAAGCACAAAACAATCAAGCCCTTGGCCCCATGAACCCTGTTAACTCTAGACGCTACACCCTGATACCCAAGCGAAAACCACCTGCCAACCTAGGCGATGATGCGCATCCTTGCCATTAGCCTCATTGTTGCGCTGCTGGCGGTTTGGGGTTTGGGGCTTCTGATTTTTTGCGGCTTTGGATAGTGGACACTGCGTAAGGTACCCCACACAGAGATTCACACAACACGGGCTATAGTCCCCTCTGAGTAGAGAGAACACACCCGAAGCCATAGTGTATCTACTTCTGGGGGACTAAATATGATTAATGCTCTGGCAGACTTTCTGATAAAGGGACATGGAACGCCCGAGATTCGACGATGGCAGTGCCATCAGTCGTACTTGCCTCAGGGAATCTCCGCCCTGCTGTACTAACTCGGGGTTAGTAGGGAATAAGGGAACATATTATGTGAGCATCATATTATAGTGATTATACTCCTGTATTCCCTACTAGGCACCAGTAAAAAGGTTCAGGGGCTTGGCGCCCCGCCGGAACCCTGAACCCTAAAAGGGGTGTTTATGGGTTCGGGTAAGTAGTCAGTATGTAGATACTTTGGGTTTGGAGCGTGGGGAAGACGCAACAATTGCTAGTGGATCGAAGGGGAATGGAGGAGAGAGGGTTCTGCGGCCTATTGTTGGACATTGTCTAGGGACGACTATGGCTATCCCCCTGTCCAACGTCTACTGACCACAAAGCAGCCAAAGTCTTTTTAGCCCGGCCATGCAGATGCACGAGTCCTTTGGTGGCACTCCATCGCCCATCAACGCAAATATGTAGCGCTCCATCATGCCATGTCCTTGGGCACCCTTAGCCCTGAAGCATGATCCCCTAATTGTCGTCCCGAAACCCTGCACAGTAGTTTATAAACACTACAGGTTGTTGTTAAGGAACTTAATTTAAGTTACCATGTCGGGGAAACCGTATTAACTGCTACAGTCATGGACACTTCTTTTAAGTTCCTGAACAGCAACCCGGTTTCAAGTTGTCATGTCTTAGACTCTTTGCACAGCAGCCATAATTGGCCCAAACCGCATCTGCTTCAGAGCCCGAAGCTCTGAAAGCCGCAACGTGTTGATGTCTAGGGTTTAGGGTTTAGAGTTTAGGTTTTAGGGTTTATTCTTTTTAGGTTGTAGGTCATGAAGGGGTTGCGTATGGAGAGACTTACAGGGAGTTCACTAGTAAGGAAAGTCGTGCAGTGAGATTCATGGTGTGCAATGGGGACTACTTCTGTACAGAGATTTATTCCTCCGTCCTGACCAGCCACCTGCACCCTAATGTAGGCTTAGGCTTTAGGGCGCAGTGATTTCCATTTTCCAGTCCATACTAGCATGGTCGTTCCCATTTACTTTACCGTTCCCCACCCATATAGTCCTTTTCCATGTTCTGTTGCGCCTCGTACTAGAGCACGTTGCCCTGGCTTCCATGAACTGATGTGCAAAAGCTTGAATTAGACTCCAGGACCTGATGTAGAAGCTGGACAAATCAGCTGTTTTCCGCTTATAGGCATCATATGGTTACATAAGCCACAGATGCAGAAACGCGCACTAATTCTTCAGGCCCCTACATGACCCTGAACTGGGTCCACGTAGAGAACCTATGCTTTCCTATGCATCGGTTTCTGTATAGAACTGCAAGAGTGATCATGTTTCTTCATAAGAGAATACGCAGACCCCTTGGAGGATTCAAGATGTAGACTCGTATATAGTAAGCTCGTAATAACCTGTATAGTATAGCCCTTTCAGAATTCTCCACATGATTTTCAAAAATCTGATTTTAGATCCTTTTGGGAATCGAGGTAGGAGACAAGTAAAACCCAAACTCTATTCTATCTATTTCTACGCCAATGGCATGGCCTTGGGGGCCTCGTGGGCGGATGCGCTGCAGCTCGTGGACGCCGGCGCCACGGACGCAGGTCAACACACTGTCCTAGAACATCGACAGCAATGTAGGGGAGCCCTTCGGTCCCCTTCAAGTGGGTTAGAGGCATACCATGGGCTCCTGGTTTAAGGCATCTGGATTTAGTGCTTACGGTGTTGGGGGTGCTTCAGAAAATGCGGATGCCACGAGTACATGGGAATCATGGGAGTACTGTTTATGCCAACACACCTGCATGACCTTTTTCTACCATAATCCCCACAAAGCATCAGGTAACTAGGAGTTGTAGTATCCACCGCCCTAAACCCTAAGCCACGTATTCTGGGGAACATCAGTTTTGGAGAGACTCCCGCCAACTGCTCACAAAGGCTCCTTTGCGCAGTCGAAGCTTTGGAGTCGAAGGAATTAGGAACAGTTTGTCCTTCCGCCCGGGGATGCAAGTCTGCAAATCTCACAAACTGCACCCCAGGGTTTAGGGTTTAGGGGTTTAGGGCTTAGGGTTTAGGGTTGAGGGTCTCCAACTACTAATTGCCTTGGGCTATTTGGATGCCTAGGGTCAAAGCCGTCCAAGACCGTTCGTTATGGCTACGATAGAAAACATGCCTGAACCTTGTTCTAAGTATTATAAGGCCCCTTCCAGGACCCCTTCAGCACCCTGACTCTATGTTTTTGATGCTTTGTGAATGTGTTTTGTTTGTCATCGTATGGCTTTTTGTAAGTCGTAGGGTGCGAGTTTAAGGATTCACATGGGGCTTATGATACGCAGACATATAGTTGTTATGTATACCGGTAACAATGAAATCACGATGGGTCCGGCTTCTGGTACCTTCAAGATCAACGTGTTCAGAGGGCTGGTCCAACTACCGGCCAAGTGCGTTTGCGAAGTGAGCTTCTTACACATATGCGCCATGTGAATATGTGTCCATACGTATGTACATGTAAAAAGACCCCTCAACCGTGCAGTTCCGGGTCTTGAAAATTGTTACTGTTAATTAATGCAGCTGCACAATACAAAATACTGTCGCCCAACCTCCCATGGCGTCTCAGCCCTAGACCCAAAACTACGCTTCAACCACCCTAAACCTCCACCCCGCAACCAACACCCTAAAGATCTCTCTCTCTCTCTCTCTCTCTGTGCATACCAAGATGTCCCTATGTTGCTCACGAGGCCTCGAGACTCGCATCCACCCGGTTGTCCGCTATGGCACCGCCATCGCAGCGGCTGGGACCGATTGGGAGTTAGAGGTGGTGTTTTTAGGGTTTAAGGTGAGGGACT